ACACTGTCAGAGATAGCGTCTTGGACTATATGAATTATGAACAATGGAAACTGAGGGCATTTATACACATGCTCTGGAGGTTGGAGGACTGGGGGGCTTTAATTAGAGTGGCTCTGAGATCCACTCTAATTAAAGCACCCAGAGCAGGGTGTATCAGTGTCCCCATGATGAAAAATGGTGGTGGGGGGCACTTTAACTAAAGCTCATCAAATGATCTTTAAAGTGCCCCTCCACCAGGTTACGAAGTCCTTGGATATGGGCGTTGAGGTGGATGTCGTGTACCTGGACTTCAAGAAGGCCTTTGACACTGTTTCTCACCCCATGCTCATAAAAAAACTAGGCGACTGTGGCATTGATGCCTACACAGTCAGATGGGTGGTAAATTGGCTCGATGGTCGCACCCAGAGAATGGTGGTGGACAGGTCATTTTTGACCTGGAGGGATGTGGGCAGTGGAGTTCCCCAGGACTCAGTCCTGGGGCCTGTGCTATTCAACATCTTTATCAGCGACTTGGAGGTGGGCGTGGAAAGCATTCGCTGATGACACAAAGATGTGGGGAGAAGTCGGCACACTGGAGGAGAGGGACAGAATCCAGCTAGATCTTGACAGGTTACAGAGGTGGGCGGATGAGAACAGGATGGAGTTCAATGCAGACAAGTGCAAGGTGCTACATCTAGGGAGGAGGAGCCAGCAACACACCTACAGGCTGGGGAACACCCTTCTTGTCAACACAGTGGCTGAAAGGGATCCTGGAGTCATTGCTGACCCCAGGATGGACATGAGCCGCCAATGCAAGGAAGCGGTCAGTAAAGCTAACCACCCCTTGGGCCACAGTTGGAGTACTGTGTCCAGTTCTGGGTGCCGCACTTCAAGAGGGAAATGGCTAACCTTGAGAGGGTCCAGAGAAGGGCCATTAGCATGGTCAGGGGGCAGCAGGCCAGGCCCTACAAAGATAGACCAAAGGGCCTGAATCTATCCAGCCTCCACAAGAGAAGACTGAGAGGAGATCTGGTGGCTGTTTATAACCTCATGGGGGGGACCAGCGGAAAATAGGTGAGGCTCCATTCCCCCGGGCACCACTTGGGATAACAAAGAACAATGGCCACAAATTGATTGAGAGTAGGTTTAGGCTTTATATCAGGAGGCATTACTTTACGGTTAGGGCTTCCAGGCTCTGGAATGGGCTCCCAAGGGAGGTGGTGCTCTCCCCTACCTTGAAGGTGTTCAGTGGGAGGTTGGATAGATACCGGCTGGGGGGTTATGATCCCAGCACTCATTCCTGCCCAGGTCAGGGGGTTGGACTTGATCTGTTCAGGTCCCTTCTGACCTTAGAAACTATGAAACTGTGAAACCATTTTTCAGTGCAGGGATGCTGATATACAAGATGCTGGAGTCAGCTGGAGTGTGGTAATTACCACACATCAGAGCAGCATGGTAATTATTACAGTGCATTGGAGCAGCCTTGCTGCTCATATATAGGCACTCTGAGACACCAGACCATATTGAATCAGTGACAAAACTGAAACATCAGTTGATCTCTAAATGAAATGGCAAAGACTACAGGCAGTCCTTGACTTACAACATTTTGAGTTACAATGGTTCACACTTACAACATTTATAAATTGACACCCTGTTTCAACTTTCTGACATCAGTTTTGACTTTACAACGTTTGATCCAATGCCATGCTATGCCAGCGAGGCAATGCGCTGTGTCACCCATCTCCCTGGAGAACATCTGTCCAAACTTCCTTGGACACTTTTTTTAAGAAAACAGACAAGTCTCCAGAAAAACCTACAGCAAATACTCCAGAGAAGACTCCATCCAAGAACCCTTCAAAAAATCCAACCAAGAGCCCTTCAAAAAGTCCAGCAAAGTCACCTCAAAGGAGTCCTTCCAAAACAATTTAATTGCTATTTACACTATAAATACATTAATGTAGCTATATTACTCATCTATAATTGATTGAGTACAACATTCTGGGTTATTTTTGGTGAAAATAGGGTATTGGGCCTTGGTTCAGGAACCAACCCCCCATTTATAACATTGTTTCTTATGGGAAATTTGGTTCTGAGTTACATTTCGACTTAAGATGCGGTTTTCAGGAACCAATTGTGTCATAAGCCTGACGACTGCCTGTACTGTTATCTCTTTAAAGAAATTAACTAGACTGGAGGTGTTAAAGATCTAGCCTGCAGGCTGGATTCGGTCCATAAAGCCCTATTTTTTGGCCCACAGTGCTGCCTCTAGGGCTTCTGGCAGATGTAATCACATCTTAAGTAGTAACCTGGTGAGACATTCATGCAATTAACAGTGTAATAAAAGGGGTTAATAAGCAACAACATTATTAAATATATTTTCTTGTAATCATTTTGTGGCTGGTTCCCATTGCCCCTCAGATTGAAGGTGTGGCTAGTGCACTTCTGGTTCTGGTGTGCAGCTGCAGCTGGGAGAACCAATCAACAGATTGGCATTCCAATCCATGGGCTCAGTAAGCACCTGGCTTGCTCCTTGCAGATATAAGGAGAGCTCAAGATCATGATCCCAGGTTTCCTTGGCACCAGCAATAGGGCAGGATTGGGATCTGATCCCTGATACCATAATTGCATTTCTGCCCTGCACATGTGCCATGGCAAGAGATGTGATTGTTGGGATCAGAGATTGGATTAAATTAAATGCCTGTCAGTGGCCTGGATCTCAAACCAGCCCCACACAATACGTGCAGCATGTGCTGGCCCCGTCCCTCCATGCTGCATATGGTGTGCAGAACTCACAGGTATAGGCTGCACATGACATGGGAACTGAAGCTGACTTGCAAACTTCAGTGGGGTGCATGCTGCATACAGTGCCTGCACTGCTTGGACACTGCATCGAGGGCTGGTCCATAATGGGTACAAACACTGGCCCCGTGTGTCAGATTCAGTATGCAGGGCAAGTCTTGCATGGTCACCACGCCCCAGACTGGCCTTGCATGCCACATACAGTAGGGCTGTGTGGAGCTTCAGTCATGAACAGCTCGTGCCCCCGGTGGCTGGGGAGGCGTGGCTGCTCAGGCAGTGGCAGGAGCATGGTGGCAGCGGTGGGAGTGTGGCGGTGGTAAGCATGGAGCTCCCGCAGTTGCCACTGGCACTGTTGGTGGGGGTGGGGGTGGTGAGTGCCAACCAGGGGTCAGCAACCTCCCGCAGGTATTGCTGGCAGCATCAACAGAGGCCAGTAGCGATAGTGGACCGCCTGCAGATGCTGAGATGGTGGAGCGGATGGAGCATCTCAGAGGAGCATGGAGGAGGGGGGCAGTCCCCAGCAGACCCACAGGGGTCAGCAGCCAACCCAGAAGCAAACCAGAAGCACTTCCAGTCCACTTCCAGGCCCGCTGGGGAACCCGCCAGGGGGCCCCCCCACACCCTTGCATCTCAGCGACTTGTGTCTCCTGAATCTCCCAGGTTCCCCCCATGGTCAATTGCTAAGCTGGAGAGGTGCAGGGGGCATCCCCTGAGTGCTCTCCGGTGGACCCAGCAGTGGACCAGAAGTACTTCCAGTCCACTTCTGGGTTCACCACTGATCAGGCCGGGGGGCCCCCATGCTCCTGTGGGACACTCCATCCGGCCCACCATTGCAGCATTCATAAGCTGTGTCTGGTACCTCGAGGTATGTAGGAAAAACATTTAAAGCTGTGTCTGTGGCCAAAATGCTGATTCTCCAAATCACCAGGCTGATCCTGAGCACTAGATCCAGTGAGTGAGGTTGGTTTGTGAGCCCATTCCAGATACCAGGGTTTTTTTCAGTTAATTTACAAGTAAACTGGTATGATGTAAAATAGTATGTTTTCTTTTATGAGGAACATATTGAAATCAGTTTTGTTACAATGCTTTCTGAAAGTATGAATGTTCCTAGTTACTTTGTGTATGGCTTATTGATTAATTTTGAACATTAGTACTTAAAGCAAAAAAATCATATTACTGTGGATTTCCTTTAAAAGATTCTTGAAGGCCCTATCCATAAAATTAGGCAGCTGCAAGTGTCTCAGTGCCTGGCATTAATTTCCAATGTAAGTTTCTAAAAATGTATAAACATTGCCTTGACTAATGCTTTCATTTCAAAGGCAGTCACTGCACATACAGGCAATAAAATCCAACCTCCTGAAGTAGACAGACATCTATAATAATAGGTGATTTTGACTCTACAGTGCCATTGACTAGGAAGTACCATGAACAGAAAGGTAATATATTTCAGGCAATGCCACTCTAAAATGTAAATCATAACATATGCATATCAAATGACAATGCCATTTTCTCTGCAAATGAGTAATTTTTTTTAAATGTACTTTGAAAATATTTAATTAAATCACAGGTTCAGAAATATCTATTCACATAAGGTATTTGGAGTTTTAAAAGAGACCTTTGGGTGAGTCCTTAGAAAGCAGGCCACTAGAATGAATGAATCCATATCCTAGGTCTGATATGGCCTACAACCTTAATGCAGGCCTTATGTACACCTGAACACTGAGATCTTTTGTTCTCAACTGTAAAATTCCAAACTCAGGATTTGGCCCATTATCTGCTCAGTCTCTTATAAAAACCATTCATTTTTTTCCACTGACTGGCTGGTATAGTGTGTACTGTATATCTGAGATGTGTACCTGAACCCTGCCATTGATTCTGAAGAGCGTACTGTAGCCTTACAACAGACAGCAGTAAACATTTTCACACTACTAAGTGGGTTAGGTGGTTTTAAAATATAACAAAATTAAACACAAAAATGCAATTGTATGTTACAAAGATAAAGGTTCAATGTTAAATAGCCTTCTAGTTTTATTCAAGAAATTACTCCAGAAATAAAACAACATTAGTTGTACCCTTGAAACAGTCTAAAGACTGCCTTATGGAAGTGTTTTCCTGGAATATCCTAGCATTCCTGAACTGGTCAGAGAAAGGGCAAGATGACCATCCCCAATTTCTGTAACTGAAATGGGAATGATATTATGTACTTCCCCTCTCTTGTTCAGGACTGCAAGCACAACACAGGTGGTCCTTACTGTAACAGATGTCTTCCTGGTTTCTATGGAGATCCTACTAAAGGGACAATTGAAGACTGCCAGTTGTGTGCCTGTCCATTAAATATACCATCGAACAAGTAAGATACATATTTACCATATAACAGCATTTTCATTTTACATTTGATAAATTGTGTTACTTCTGTAAACAGTTTTCTTTTTCACTGATGTTGAAGGATCTCAAAGCATGCTTTACTTTTAAAATAATATGTATTTTTTATGAGCATAAGGTGATAAATACACAGCAAAAGGTAAGTAAATTCCTGTTTTGCCACCAGAACAGTGTCACAAAAAAGATGAATAACATAAGTAACAAAGCTATTCAAGATCAGGGCCAGGTATACTACCAAGAAGTATTGACTTCCAGTCCTCTGTTGTCACTGCCAACTAATATTTCTGTTTTATTATAGGTGCCTTTCTTATTCTTGTCCACACATACACAGTATCTGTCTATCAGATTATAAAACTGAAGTTGCAGATTTCACATACATTTTTCTAAGGTGGTTTTTTTGTTGTTGTTGTTGTTGTTTTGGTTTTGAGTATACTAGCTGGATTACCAATCTGGCTGTGATTCATTTTGTATATTTTTTCAATAAGACCTCAAATATCAAATAGTAGTTACTCATTCCAAATCTGGTGTAGAGAACAGAATTTTCTTTTTTGAATTAAGCTTTATCTCTTGGAAGTTAAAAAATTCTACTAGTATTTCTTGGAATAATTATTATGAATTGTTTAGGTGAGTCATGTAAAAATGATGAAACTTCAGAGGTTCACTCACTGACGTTTAACTGCAGGCAGTTATGCAGATGGCATGGGATGAAAAAAATAATTAGCTTTATCCAGCACAATGTCCTTGAAAGTTCAAAAACCAAAAAATCACTTAATATCATATCCAAGTAAAATTCTTTCAGACTCTCATGCTAGATTATCTGACTAGAAATTTGCTTTCTGTGTGTGTCCATTGCTTTTAAAATTAAATGTATCATAGATTCATAGATTCATAAATGCTAGGGTTGGAAGGGAGCTCAACAGATTTCATAGATTTCATAGATATCAGGGCTGGAAGGGACCTCGGAAGATCATCGAGTCCAGCCCCCCGCCCAAAGGGCAGGAAGTCAGCTGGGGTCATAGGATCCCAGCAAGATAAGCATCCAGTTTCATCTTGAAGGTGTTCAATGTAGGTGCTTGAACCACCTCCGGTGGCAGGCTGTTCCAGACCTTGGGGGCTCGGACAGTAAAGAAGTTCTTCCTTATGTCCAGCCTGAAACGATCTTGAAGTAGTTTGTGACCATTCGACCTCGTCATCCCTTGGGGCGCTCTGGTGAACAAACGTTCCCCCAGATGCTGGTGGTCACCCCTGATAAACTTGTAGGTGGCCATCAGATCACCCCTGGTCCTTCAGATTTTCAGGCTAAAGAGCCCCAGGGCTCTCAGCCTGTCATCGTAGGGTCTGCTTAAAGAGTGCTGGGGCCAGATGACCCCAGCCAGATGCCTATCCAGCCTTCTTTTAAAGACCCCCAAGGTAGGGGAGAGCACCACCCTCCTTGGAAGCCCATTCCAAATTTTGGCCACCCTTACCGTGAAGAAGTTTTCCTGATATCTAGCCTAAATCTGCTCTCTGTCAGTTTGTGACCATTGTTCCTCATTACCCCCAAGAGGCGCCCTGGTGAGGCGGACAGAGCATCTCCGAACCCTTGCTGTGTACCCCTAATGAATTTGTAGGTGACCACAAGATCACCATTCAGCCTTCTCTTGTGGAGGCTGAAGAGATCCAGGTCCCTCAGTCTCTCCTCGCGGGCTTGTCCTGTAAGCCCCTAACCATACAAGTGGCCGTCCTCTCAACGCTCTTGAGTCTATCAACATCCTCCTTGAAGTACGGTGCCCAAAACTGGATGCAGTACTCCAACTGCAGTCTGACCAATGCCGCATAGAGGGGAAGTATCACCTCCTTGGATGTGTGCTGATGCATGATAAAGTGCGGTTAACTTTGCTGATGATTTTGTCACACTGACGACTCATGTTCATCTTGGGGTCCACTAGGACTCCAAGGTCCCTTTCCGCTTCCGTGCTACCGAGCAGGTCATTTGCTAGGCAGTAGGTGTGCTGGACATTTTTCTTCCCTAGGTGCAGCACTTTGCATTTCTCCTTGTTGAATGCCCACTTTTCTAACTTGTCCAGGTCTGCCTTCAATCATTCCCTACCCTCTGGAGTGTGCATATCACCCCACAATTTAGTATCATCTGCAAACTTGGATAGAGTACACTTCACACCCACATCCAAATCACTGATGAAGATATTGAAGAGTATACACCCAAGGACCAAACGCTGCAGGACCCCACTACCCGTATCCTTCCAGGTCAATACTGATCCATTTACTACTACACTCTGGGTGTGACTGCTAAGCCAATTTGCCACCCACTGGACTGTGTAAACGTCTATATCACAGCCTCTTAATTTATTTATGGGAATGGGATGAGATACCATATCGAAGGCCTTGCTAAAATCCAAGAAAACAACATCCACCTCTACTCCTGCATCTAAGCATTTTGTGACCCTGTCATAAAACAAAACCAGATTGGTCAGGCATGATCCACCCACTACAAATCCATGCTGGTTTCCTGCTGCATTATTTTTCCCGCTGGACTCCCACAAATATGATCCTTCATAATCTTTTCAAAGACCTTTCCAAGGATGGAGGTGAGACTGACTGGCCTATAATTACTTAGATCCTCCTTCCTCCTGTTCTTGAAAATAGGGATGACACTGGCCCTTTTCCAGTCCTCCAGGACCTGATCTAAGCACCACAAGTGCTCAAACAGCCTTGCCAGTGGTTCTGCTGTGACACCGGCCAATTCCTTCAGTACCCTCGGATGCAGCTCATCTGGGGCGGCTGACTTAAACACATCCAGTCCATCCAAATGACTCTGCACCAAGTCAGTGGCAACACTTGTTAGGCTGGTGTCCCTCTGATGCCCATCTAAGAACCCATTAGGACACTTATCTTGACCCCTGTTCAGGAACACTGAGGCAAAAAACTTATTGAATAGCTCAGCCATATTCCCCCCTCTCTGTCACTAATTGCTCCTCCTTGTTCAGTAGGGGTCCTATGCTGCCCTGTGCCTTCCTTTTACTCCCTATGTACCTAAAAACAGCCTTTTTGTTGTCTTTAATTTGTGTTGCCAGCCTGAGCTCTGTAGTTGCTTTGGCCTTTCTAACTGCCTCCCTGCAAGTGCGGGTCAAATAGGTATACTCCTCCTTGGTGGCTTCCCCCTGCTTCCACTGCCTATATGCCTTCTTTTTTGCCCTTAGGTTCCCCTGGATTTCCCTGTTTAGCCAAGGAAGTTTTTTGGTTCCTTTCCCCCTTTTCCCTCGTACCGGGATAGTCTCCCTCTGTGCCCATAGGATCACTTCCTTTAGGAACAACCACCCTTCCTGGACTTCCATCTTGTCAATACTGTTCTCCTGCAGTACGTTATTGACTAGACTCCTAAGCACACTGAAGTTAACCTTCCTAAAGTCAAGCACTTCCACCCTACTAGTTATCTTGCCCACCCTATGCCATAGTCACAGTCCCCACGATGATCACGAAACCGCAGCTCCCCTACAAGGTCCTCCCCCATAGCCAATGCCAAGTCCAGTAAGGCATTCCCCTAGTGGGACCGTATATCTCCTGCGTTAGGTGAAGGTCCTGCACGCAAGTTAAAAACTTACATAAACGGTTGGATTTGGCTGACTGCTCCTCCCAGCAGATGTCAGGGTAGTTTAGGTCCTGTATGACAACCACGTCCCTAGACTGTACAGCCTCCGAGAGCTGTTTCAAGAATTCCAAGTCTAGCTTTTCCTCTTGGTGTGGTGGTCTGTAGCAAACCCCCACCACCAAGTCCCTTTCCTCATGACCTCCACATATCCTAACGCACAATGCCTCAACTTTTTCCTCTTCTGATCCCATTTTAATTAGGGTAAAATATAATAACTTGAACATGTAACAACAACTATTGATCATCGTCTGATCATAGAACATCTGCTTGGGACTCCCCTCGTTCATTAGTTAGTCCGTCTTCTCCTATAACAGACAATGTCAATTAAAATTCTTAATTCAAATGAGAGAGAACAGTGTCATAGCAAGTCCTGAGCGGATGGACATTCGCTGTCTCAGTGTCTTCTCCGCAACCATCACTCTATGGGCTCGAATGAACCGCAACCTAGTGTGCGACGGATCTCACAATCAAGCAGCTGTAGATTACTGCCCTGCTGGGGTTAGACCTGTAAAGAAGAGAGAACAACAAAACAAAACAAGACAAAAGAGACTCATAATTGGACTCACTGTAAGGATACTAGGTGAACGTCGGAATGACGAGTCATCCAGTTGTGATGAACGATAATAGGAGGACGATCAGGCTTTTCTTCTAATTGGACAGAATAGGTATTA